TGTGTGTGTGTGTGTGTGTGTGTGTGTGTGTGTGTGTGTGTGTCTGTGTATATGTGTGTATGTTGTTATGTGTGTGTACCTTTGTGTGCGTGTATGTGTGCATACATGTTTGTGCATGTGAGTAAGTGTATAATGTGTATGTGTGTGTGTGTTTATCTATGTGTGTAAGTGTGCGTGTGTATGATGTGTGTGTGCGCGTGCGTCTGTGACTGTGTGCATATATGTTTAAGTATGTGAATGTGTGTATTTGTATGTATGTGTGTATGTGTGTATGTGTGCATGTACATGTGTGTATGTGTGTGTATGTGTATGTGTATGTGTGTGTCTGTGTATGTGTGTGTGCTTTTGTGTACACGGAAAAGAGAAACAGGCATGCAGACTGACGTATAGACAGACACAGAAAGCCACACAGACACACACACACACACACACACACACACACACACACACACACACACACACACACACACACAGACACACACAAACACACAAACACATACACACACATACACACACTGACGCACACGCACACACACATTTTCACACGCACAGTAGAAAGTGCCAGGAGGTCATGGGGAAGAAAGGAGAGGGGGGATTGGAAAGGAAGTGAAATGAGAAATATTCAGAGAAGAAAAGTTTTTGTCACTGTTTGGATTCGAACCCGCGGCCTATTGAATGAGAGGTCAGCACCGTACCTCTAGACCAAGAAAGCATTTCAGAACGTTTATTGTGGTAGTCATTGGGATGTTTCAGTTTTTCAGGATTGATCTTAGATTTTATTGAAAACATCTTTAGCCATTGCAATTCTTCGTTTTACTTAATGACTTATGTGGAATATTTGGCATAATATGATGTTATGAAATTACAAAGAGGATTGGCTTATTTTTTAAAAATATTATCATGCATTCTGTTTTCTTCAGATTCAACACAAATCTTTTACGTTCAGTTTCCGTTACAATCGTATCTAGGAAACGATCGGTGGCCAGCTTCTAAATTATGCTCTTAAAACTGTGTCATCATCATAGTTTCGCTTTTCGCTTTGTACAAATTATTAAAATCCAGGCAACTACATGGAATGCTACATCTTCCTCATTTACACATATGGCGCTGAGACCTGGGCTTTGACAAAGAAAAAAAAGTGGGTGGTTGGCGGGTACTCTGGTGTGGTTTGCTCCTTCTTTCCTATTAAACATCTATCGTCTTTATCTCCTCTCCTTTTTTTTTATGTTTGTTACTCTCTTGTAACACTTCGAATCTTCTGGCGCTCATATGACCTTATGCGGTTGCGAGCACCGTAAAACCTCTTCTAAAAAATGATTTATTTCTTTTTAAATTGCTGCGTTTAGAATGTGGTGCTACCGTAGAATGGCTAGAATAAATTGGAAAGCAAAAAGGACGAACAATGAGGTGTGTCAAATTCTCCACACAAGACAAACCATGCTAATAAAATAAAATGTAGGAAAACACAATACTTATACTATGGCCACGCAAAACGACACAAGACCATTGTGAAAGCGGGGCTTGAATGAAAGAAAAGCCAGGGGAAGACAAAGAGTAACTTGGATGGACAACATAAAAACATGGACTGGCCTGGATATGGCAGAATGTGCAACGGCAGCTCGCGACCGTGAAGGATGGAGGGTCATTACACGTCAGCCTCGGAGTCAGAGACGACACCTCCAGATACCCAGGTATCCATTCACTTTAAGACCTGGACATTCTTCTATGTTATTTCTAAGGATTGCTTCAGTGTGTAAGGCAAGGAGGTCAATCAAGAGTTTATATATATCCCAGCATTCCCCACATCTTCTCCACCGCCCTGTTCCCGCCTTTCCCCCAGTACCCACCACCACGCCACTTACTCCAGTTCTAAAAGACAAGTTTGGACAAAAGAAAAGCTTGAGGCGAAAGCTGGTCCCCCCTGGAACATGTCAGAATATATTCCTCTCTAGTCAGATGACTTCGTGGATACATCATTGCGCTTCAAAACATCTTTTCATTTGCCACAAGGACACGCTTCGCGGAGCCAGGAGAAAAGTCATGTCTGTAACTTTTGTGCAATAATGGAGCTGGGACGATAACTAAAACCGCTTGAATATTGAAAAATTCACCGACATTGAAAAATGTAATTTATTTAGTATTGTAGGGACATGAGAGAGATGAAGCTCACTTGGAAGGATGGCCCAGGACAGAGATAAACGGAAGGAGCTTGTATGTGGCCTATACCCTGCCAGGGGCGAAAGGCATTGGTGATGATTTAGTTGTGCTTTCATTTATTTCCCTGAGTGTTTGATTGATTTATTAATCTGCACATTTATTAATTTGTTAACTCCATTTTTCTCTGTCCTATCATTTCTTCTTTTTCTAAATATTATGTCTAACGAAATTAATGTGTGTTTGGTGCACACCCGTAGGGGGATGGGGAGGGGAGAATGGGGAGAGGAAGAGTAGGGAGGAGGAGGAGGATGGAAAGGGATGGAAGTGGATGGAAGGGGAAAGGGTATGCAAGGGGATTGAAGGGGGTGGAAGGGAAAGGGGGATAGAAAGGAAAAGGGAATGGAAGGGAAAAGGGGATGGAAAGGGAAAAGGGATGAAAGAGAAAAGTGGATGGAACGGGGAAGGGGGATGGGAGTGGATGGAAGGGGATGGAAGTGGGAAGGGAGATGGAAGGGAGAAAGGGGGTGGAAGGGGATAGAAAGGAGGTAGAAGGGAAAGGAAGGGGATGGAAGGAGGTGGAAGGGGAGTGTGGAAGGGGATAGAAAGGGAGGAGGAGGGGATGAGAAGTGGAAGGGGTGAGGTGGGATGGGAAGGGGGTTCTATCAGATAAATACATACTCGACTCAAAACATCCGTCTTTTTTTGTCTTTTTTGGGGGGAAGGGGGTGGGGCACTGCTTAAATTTTTATTTATAAATTTTTACATGATTGTAATATTGTATACGCCCAGTCTGACACATTATAGATTAACTAGCAGACGGGTTGTTTCAGTCCCGCTTGTCAGGGCCAATCTGAGTTGTAGTTTTAGTAAGTGTTTTGCGTCATCTGCAGCACAAAAAGGTCATATAAATGCCGAAGATTAGAGTTGGTACAAGAGAGTGACATACAAAAAGCAAAGGAGGGGAGGCACGGACGATAGATGTTTGATAGGCAGGAAAGAAAGAGCAAACCACACCAAGGCACCCGCCAACCCCCCACCCTTGGTTGACTGGTCCTTGCACGACACGGTGGTTTACTTTATTGTCAGTATTTTTACCTCGACATCGACACAATTTGGGTCATCTAGGAAGCGGGCTTCCATCGCTGCATGCGCGTGGCTGGTCCGGGCTACGATGGATAAAACAACAGCCCAGCAGAAAGACTGATCAGATACTCGATAAAAATGTTCTACCCCTCTCATCTCAGGGCTCCAACTCGGGACTCGAACTCGGGACTCGGAACTCGGGACTCCTAATCGTGCGACACGGAAGCGCCTAGCCCACAGGGCACGCACGTGCTGTACGAAAACACAAGACATAACACATAACACATAACACAAGACATAACACAAGCAGCGTGGGCGCACCCGGGCAACCTACAGTGGGGTAGTAAGTGACTCTCGATCGCCTTATCTTTACATATCACGGTTGTATCATGTTCAGGTTATTTATTTGTGTGTGGGCGTTTGGAGGGTGGGGTATCACTGGTATTGGTAAGTCCTGTTTCTTCAGTTTCCTTTTCTTGTTTCTAATGGCTACCCTCCTAAAAATAAAAACAGCAACAAAAACAATGACAAAAACACCAAGAAAAGAAGAAGGTCAAAAACCCCTGTTGAGATCTGAACTCCCAACCTCCGTGCCATTGTACAGAATACCATACGAGAAAGAGGGCAGTTAGTGAAATGATGATAATAATAATATTTACAATAATAATAATAACTATTATTATTATTATTATTATTATTATTATTATTATTATTATTTAATCACTTTTTCAAATTACTTATATAGCACTTAGATATCTACTCCCATACATTACAGCTCTACGCGCTGTACAATACTTTCACCTCAACACGAAACAAGTAAATGAACATGCATTCATACACTCTTAAGATTAATGCTAGCCTAACACATTAGCAGACATTCATACTATCGCAGCACCGTAGACAAAAGAATGAACAAAGTAGTTTGTCTTACTGTCACACAGAATGAACAAAGTCAAAGTAATTTGTCTCACCATCACAGTACAACAGACGACAGAATAAACAAAGTAATTAGTCTCACCGTCACACAGAATGAACAAAGTAATTAGTCTCACCGTCACACAGAATGAACAAAGTAATTTGTCTCACCGTCACAGTAAAACAGACGACAGAATGTACGAAGTAATTACTCTCACCGTCACACAGAATGAACAAAGTAATTAGTCTCACCGTCACACAGAATGAACAAAGTAATTTGTCTCACCGTCACAGTACAGCAGGCGACAGAATGTACAAAGTAATTTGTCTCACCGTCACAGTACAACAGACGACAGAATGAACAAAGTAATTTGTCTCACCTTCTCCCTCAAGCCGAGAATAATCCAAGAGTCATCTAATCCTGAGTGAACAGAAACGTTCCTCGGCTGTATGCGACCAGCCAAGAAGTCAGAGATGTGTTGCTCAGATACGTGTTTGTAGGTGATCATCCAACGATCCTCCAAGAAGTCAGAGATAATATGTAGATACGGCAATCCTTCAACTCCCACAATACACGCACTGATAGTCACATTCATTAGTCGTTTCACTTCTTGGCTCACTGTCAATTCATCGTGTTATATTAGTATCCTTCTGTCTGTCGGCCACTGGGTTGGAGAGGCACTCTCAGAGTAAACAAGTGAAAAACCAGTCTTCTCTTCTCCAAACCGCGCAACGCAACAAGTCTTTAAAAAGTCGGACTGGGTTGAGCGATTCTTTTGTGAGAAATTCCGCGGTGAAAATGTGTATGTGTGTGTGTAGACGCGACACACTTCATGTCCCTGGACTGCGAATAGACGGGACGCCTATGAACAACACACATTCTCGGTCGCTGTATTGCGAATAGACAAGACTTTTATAAACACTACCTCACCCTGCCTGTAGCAGTACTGCGGATAGACAAGGAATATCTCCACCCCCACCCACTCCCTAGAAAAAACACTGCATGACATTGCCTGCCGTAGCACTGCGAATAGCCGAGAGCCACATTATCCTGTACATAAATCCTCCACCCAGGTTGAGAGGTTTCAATAATGAAATTCTCCGGCCCACGAGACCCCATATCGTGTCTCCCTCTCCTCTCAACGAACCGCTCAATTCAAACAGGCCGGCTCAATTCAGTTACCTGGTTCGGACCATTTTCCATAAAGACCCTTTTTTCACCTTCAGCCCGCGCGCTAATGTTTGTCACAGCAGGTTCTGTTACCCACAGAGGAGCTATTGACGGCGACAGGATCCTATCTAATGACATAAATCTGTGGCAGGCAAGCAGGACAACTGACGTGGAGAACCGTGAACCACAAGCCGTCTTGCCTACCAGAGCGAAGATTGTGCCGGCTTCGCCTTTCTAGAGTAAATAATGCTTATTGAAAAGAAAGCGCTTCTTGAACAAGTACAGCTGAATATCCAATATATCATTTTGATAAAACGGGCCGTTACGGGCAAAAAAAATGTGGGGTCGTTTTTCCAGCGTGGTTGGGTTGAGGTAGAGAAAGGGCAGGGGTGGAAATGAAAAATGTGGGGTGGGGTTGGTTGGGGGGGGAGGAAGGGGGGGGGAGGGGGTCATGAGCTGATGCTTTGAGCAGCGCCACCAGAGCGTGACAGGGTGATAGGGCCGGGTGTGGAATGTGTCAATGTCTCGCCGTGGGGGCACACGGCGCGCGCGCCGGAAGTTAAAGCTTGTCAAAGAGGTATGTTCAGAGCTTGTACACTTAGAAATGTACGTCCGTCCGAGGTAAAAAAAAAATAATTAATTAATTCTGGTTTATTCTTTTATGTATCTAGGTTCTAAATCTATACCTACGAATCTTTGCATTGCACTTCTGCAGGCCACCGACCAAACAATCTTTTCTTTTTTTTTTTACCTTGATCCATAAAAAAGGAAAGATACTCTGTTTGGGCCCTATAATATCTAAAACTGCTCTTTGGGTACATACCTGGGATCACTATAACTCATTCACTTTCGTCTGTCCGCGGTGTTGAAACGGGGTAAAAACAAAACGCCCAGTTTTATCTTCCTGGCTCTTTGCATGCGGGCCTAAAAGTTAGATGGTCAACAGAATCCAAAAGCCCATAAACGAAGGTCGCTGAAAACTAATACCGGGTGTCCATTGCGCATGGGATCAGGTCTGGTCGATCGCCCGACTCGTCGCCTAACACGGGATGCCCACTACAGCTGGATCGGGTCGATCGCCCGACTCGTCGCCTAACACGGGATGCCCACTACAGCTGGATCGGGCCGATCGCCCGACTCGATCGCCTGAAACTGAACATAAACACGTTTGTTTTTTAGGCGATCGAGTCGGGCGATCGGCCCGATCAGCTGATCCGGTCCGTAGTGAGCACCCCGTATAAAACAAACGCGTTTGTTTTTAAGGCGACAAGTCGGGCGCGATCGGCTTGTGCCACGATAGCCGCTTTGCGTCCTCAATCTGGCTAACAAACCGACCCGACCCGACCCGACCCGACCCGACCTCACAATGGGCACCCCGAATAAGTTTCCAACACTCGCCCTTTGACGTTAGTCTAAAACGGATGAAAAAGTTATAGGTGAATTTCTTTACACACGTCGGCCTAAATCATTACAAGGTTAACCTCCTTCCATCAACACGACGCTTCTTTTTTAAATTGAAAGACCACTCGTTGTCGGGGGGGAAATGTTCCAACTTGAATGGATGAGCGTTATTCACTCTCCGGGGAATTCAGAGGCGGAGCACGCTATACAGATATATAATATGTACGTGTTGTAGCGACTTTGTTACATGACACCTGCGTGCAAAGTAGTCGAGTTAAAAACTAATGTTCTTTTATTGTTAATGAGCTCAAGTGTATATAAGGCGCTTGTAAATAAATGTTAATTTGTCTGTACTTTGTTCATAACCCGACGTTCTGTCAAGCCTCTAAAGTGTGATAAGATGGTTTGGCTTTGGTTGCTTCCGAATCTACAAGACAAAACTAAAACACTTCTTCAAAAGTTGCAAGTACCGAGTTGTTAGCAAAAAATGAATGTTATATCATAATGAAAATGCTGCTGTAGTGCTGTACCATAATTTACTTTTTGTTCCAGATACGAGCCTTAAGTGCGTGGTTGGAGGGCGCCACTGGTAAGTCCTATCCTACTTTTTTTACTTCCTCCTCTGTTGTTTCTGTCTGCTGCCTTACCTTTTCCCAGCATTAAATGACCATTATTGTGTCGATGTGCTTCTCTTTACTCAAACAAACAAACAAATATTAAATACCAGCCTTACAGCCACTTCGACTTATATTCTGACGATAAAATGTTGATGACCATCTTGCTGGAAGCTTATTCAAGAGTGTGAACACATTTCATGATGATAATGCGAAACCACGGGGTTCCTAATTAATTCTAATTGACTGTTATTCGCCCACTTTGGGAAATAAGATACTTAAAATGACTAATGGAAAAAAAAGACTCACCCTCGATCGATTGATCCATGATCTATGCCATGCGTCATATTCCAAACCTGATGTCTCAAATGGGTTGATATTTAATTAGTGACTGCTGAATATGTCAAGCCTTTCTCTCTTTCAGACATTCTCTTCTTCTTCGATAACATGATCAACACATGTTTCCCAGTATTCTCTATCCACCTCGTCAACAGCTTGTGCTGTCAAAAATGTTATGTCATGTAGTTTAAAGGTTGTGTTTCCGATAGTAACTTTATTATTCATTATTTTTAATCGTTGCACAAACTAGTTCAATGGGATTGAGGTGTGCGTGGTAAGCCGACAGTCTAAGACGTATGTGACTATACTCAGCAATTACATGTGTTTTGTCTATCGAAAAAATCTTCCTTTTTTGTAGCAAATAGCATACCGTTTAACTATACGTAACAGCTTCAGTTTGTTGGCACCAAAAGGGAATGTAGCACTGTTTGTGTGCAGCCAGGCTTCAATATCTGTCTTCTGCTAGCTCATAGATGGAACTTAATCTTCTTCAGCTGTACGGTTATGATAACTGGCGTTATCTATTAGCCATTAGGATACAGGACGGTCTGTCCAATGAAGGAAGCGCTAGAGCCTATAGACCTACGTTCTTAGGCTACTCTGGGCGTCTAGCGCGGCAAGAGCTAATTGTTTTGTTTTGTCACCCACTATTCAAACATCAGACTGTTCATTTCCATGCGATAATCTCTATCATCAGTTGACTCAGATCTACACTGGACAACTAGAGCAGCGCCAGAGAAAAACAGAGAGTTCCTGCTACAAGTGGGGCCGATGATTTTCACCTTAACTGCTGGGTGGGAACATCCCCCCCCCCCTCGCACATTCTCGATCACCCTATCATCCCTTCGTTCCATACGCTGATTACCATTCTCTTTCCTCAGTATGCTGAGCGTTTATCCACGTTTCATCAAGGTACAATACTATGTTCTAACTCTCTGAGCGTTTCTGTTGAAATGGACGAAAGTATATTTTGCTTCTTTACACAATGAGATCACATATTTCCCATGAAATCTTTTTACTGTGTCCAACTCGCTTATGAAATAAAAATCCGGCATCTCTTACAATTTTCCACAACGCAGTTTTTACGACGTGGAGATTCAATTCTGTTTTCACATTTTGTTTCTGTTTCCGGAAAGTCGACACTCATTCTTTTGAAACAATTTGACTATCAGTCTCTGGATGGCACATGTATCAAAATCACAGACTTTAATTTATTTTGAAAAGTTTTAGCATAATTAAAGTCAAGATTTGCTGAATGTAGAAATGCATACAAGTAGCAATATTCTTAACGTGGGATTTGAGATTAGTTATGGCGCAATAAAAGTCTGCCTCGTCCAGCTTCACGACAACACGTTAACCTTATCAGTACGCCCTGGGGTCATTTTGTACCCCCGGGGTTGTATTCTTCATATGTTTATAATACCTCTAGTACGAAGATCTCTTTGAAAGTTTCAGTATTTCTCA